AGTGAATCTTGAGTCTTCCTTTGAAATGGCTCCAACATTCACTCCTTCCTTATTCCTGTGGCCATCAGCTGAAATCAGTTCTCATAATTTTATGTCTAGATTCCCACATCAGTCTCCTATTTAGCTTCAACTTCACTTAAGTCAGAGAGCTTTTGAGGTAGGTCTGTTTTCAGACTCCCAAGTCCACTGTGAAACTTATCTGTTTCTTAATTTGTAAAATGGGAACAATACCACTTTTCCTTGAAGGTCTATCATAAGGAATGAGACATTTTTGTAAAGTTCTTAGCACAACGACTATTAATAGGTAAGAATTCTTGATTATTGAAAACTTACTTATAAGCCCTTTGAAGTCTGGGACCAGATCTTTTATACTACTCCATCCCACATACACTTACCAGACATACTGAATATTTGTTAAATAGTTTGATGAAGGCCAAAATAAGAGGCATATTCTCTTTTATAACACAACAACATTCTTCTTCACTTGAAAGAGTTAAGTTTAGACAACACAAAATAAAGGAAACTTTAAAAGCCATTCAGAAATAAAAAGCAGTTTGGGAAATAATGCATGTGATAAGCCAATCAAGAAAATAACACCTTGAACATCTGAAGATAGCAATTGGTTTTTCTTTCCCCACAGTGCCCTTAGAACACCAAGATCCAATTGGAAACATAGAGGAATTCTAACTGAAACAAGCAAAGGTTGGCCCTGCTTTTGTTGTTTTAGCCTTACCACTTTTCCAGTTTGGGTTGGACTGCCTTTGGCTCAGAAGATCCTACTTGCTCTGGGGAGCACAGAAAGGACAAAATGGAGCCTACAGGAAGAGGAAAAAAGAGAGCCGGCTACTAAGGGCTGGCCCTAGGCACAAATGGTTTAAAAAGAAAAAGTGTCAGGATTTTCTAACTAAAAATGGAAAATGTAGTCTGCCAATGGGCTACTTCACAGTACAAGTAAAACTATATGAAAAATCATTTGGATATCCATATGTAGATGTTTCTGGAACATGTCAGATAGATATATTTGAAACTGAGACAGCCCAGGAAAATCTCTGCCAATTATCTCCACATGAGTTAGCCCAGCTCACCAAGGTCAGAAGGGCAGAGGGTCTTTAGTGCAGATGCCTGCATAGAGATAAATGGTACATATTCTTTGAAAATATGGTCAGACAGTTCTTATAGCAAATGGTTGGAGTATAAATTAGTAAAACCACTTGGAAAAGTGATATGAATCAAGAACTCTGAAAGTGTTTATATCCTTGACCCAGAAATTCCACCTCTAGGAATTTATACTAAGGAAATAATTTATGCACAAAGACATTCACTGGAACATTAGATGCAATCTAAAATGTCCAATGAGGAAAGGTGATACAAATCACGGCACATCCATACAATGGACTATCATGCAATTTATAAAGGTTGACATAGTTTTTAATGACATGGAATAATGCCTGTAGATTGAGGAAAAGAAATTAAGATACAAATTATATTGAAAATAAATGAAACTACATAAAAACATGCACAAGTAGCAGAGACTGGCAAGAAATAACGCAAAAATATTAAAGTGCTTTCTTTCCCCTGCATGATAGAATTATAGGCAATTATTATTTTTCTTTACACTTTTCTGTTTTGTCTAAATTTTCCACAATGAGCATATTTTACTGGCATAAACAAAAAAAAAACAAAAACACTGAATCAGGCAAGCATTAAAGAAGAATGGGCATTTTTATATAGCTTTATTTGTTTCTGCTAGGTATTGGAGTGTGGTTTCTAACAACAAAAAAAGGGGGCTTACAAACCAATCATTTATTTGACAGGAGCATGAGACTCTTAAAAAAGCAGAGAAATTCTTAAATTCTTTTCCACAAGTTTCACCATATTCATGTAGAACTGTAGCAAAAAAAATGGTGAAGCCAGTTAAATCATCAATCACTGATCTAAATGACAACTCCAAGCTCCCACATCGCATGGATCCAAGGCCACAAAATACAATGTCAGACCCAAGTTTAAATGGCACATTGCTCTACATTTTCCAAGATGAAAAAAATTAGGAAAATAAAAGTGTTTTTACTAACACTTTTTTTTACTAAAAAAAGAAAGAAAGAAAGAAAGAAACAGTTAAGTGCTTTTTTACCAATTAGCGGCTGGAGAGAAATGAAAGGCATACCTGAGAATTAAACTAATGCTTTGTAAAAACTGACTTTACTTAAAAAGACAAAATGTAACTCATGAATACTTTATTAGCAGAAAAAAAACAGACAACTTGGTTACTAAATGACAAGTGTCCAGGACTGGTCTGAAGGCAAAATGTCTGCAAGGTCTGACTCAAAGTCAGAATAGCCTCTGTTGAACACCACTTCACCTAAAATCCAACATTTTACCTTTCTTCAAATTCCTTAAGATTCTACCCTAGGGAAACTTGTTTTATACCAAGAGTTACGGATCAACTTATTTATACTCACAATCTGTCACCTAATCATGGTATTTTCATTCTAGCTTTCCTGAAACACATTAAAATGCCACATAACCTAAATTTACCTCTCTTGTTTCATTTGGACTTTATAATTACCCTATGACAGACGCCAAGTATTTATACCTTCTGGGCAGAAATGGAAATAAAATCCTCAAGTGGCTCACGTAAGGGTCAGAAAGTTAGTGAATGTAAGCAGACCGTAGGGGTGAAGCTATATTCAGCACCAATTACATTGTCAGGATTTACCAAAGCAAGAAAAGCCCTCAACACTTCTATATGAATAGGGATGAAAATACAGGTTGGCTAAGTGTTTTTAAGAGACTAGTAACTGCAGTTCCTTTCCTTAAACAAGATATTCCATATAATCACTGGTTAGCTGACATCTACATAACAGCTAAGATGACCTCTTGAAACTGCAATATACTTAGTTAAGCAGAAATATGGGCTAGCAAAATACACTGCTAAAAAGCCAGGGTCTTGGTAAAAATATTTAGTGACCATACTAAAAAAAGGATAATGGCTTAAGAGTCATGCTGTTGTCCTAAGGCAAAAGGCATAAAAAGTACTCACCTTCCAAGATATATACACAATATAAGCCCCAATTTCAAGATTATAAACTTCAGTGTATATTTTAAAATGTTAGTCGCCTCTATGAGATAAATTAAAACTTTATATGTAATTTCAGTGTACAGCACCAAAAATGAACACTAAAACTGTTCACATAAAATAGTGAAAAGGAAACAAAGCACAACTATAAAAGCACAGACGTATTGGTTACAAGAACCAAGTAAACAAACTAATTTCTATTAATATTTCCATTTACCTTATAAAACTTTGCTGGTTAAACTGGGGGGGGGGGGTCTCTGAGAATCTAAAGGGTAACAAAATGATAACAAATATACACCATTTCTTTATTAACAAATTATACCACACAAATCAGGTTACCTTTTGTATCTGATTACAGAGTTAACTGAAATTGCATCTGTATTTAGAGCAGCAACATAAAATTTTACTAGGAAGAAATTCTATATCTGGACCAAAGGACTGTAACATGGACTGGAAATCTAATGACTAAGAAGGTAAAACTATGGTATAACTACTGTGAGAAGATTCAGGTTTGTTTTCCACATTTTAATAATAAGCAGCTCTCCAAAAGTGATAATACGTTTTATAACGGCATGATGTAGCGAAAGAAGGGATGCTGTAGAAAATCACATGAAGTTAAATCAGTACAAAAGGAGCACACAGGCCATGAAAACTTGAGAAGGTGTAAAAAACTAAGCAGTGACAAGTCAGCTCCCTGGAGTTGCAGCAACCCTGAAGTAACATGTCCTGATTCTAACTGAAATTGGAAGTCTTCATCTGGGCACTTCAGTTTGAGAAATCAGATTAGTGATTTAAAAAGAGTTTTATTTCTAAAGTAGATACAGCTTAGGGAGAGACAGCTAAACATTAGGAAAATATTAACTTCTTGAGAACTCAAAAACTATTTAGGAAGCCAAATAAAGCAAAGGAAAATATAAAATTTGGGTAAAAATGTTTCTCTAAGGGTAAAAACTCAGCTTCCTGAGGGATTTAAAATCAAACGCACTTATAAGAGTGGTTTTCAAAGTGGGCTTCAGGCCCATCCTCTCCAAGCTTTCCTCACTTAAATTCAAATATTTCTAATTCTGTTTTGTCTTTTGTGAGTTCAGGAAAGATTTCCTTTTAAAAAAAGGGAAAAAAATCTGATGCTGTCCCCATCCTTTGCAATTGTTTGCTTTTTCTTGAAGTTTGAAAATCATTGCTATGAGACTGAAATTACATTGTTGAGAAATATGATCAGAGATCTAAAACATTCTGTCAGTGTTACTAAAATCTGAAAAGTTTCAAAGATTTGTATGTTATTCTATAAAATAAATGAGCAAAAGAAGTTCTTACGAAGAAATTAAACTTTGTTATTCCTTCCTCCTCTAAATCTGTTTCTCCATTGCCTCCATCTCTCAATATTTCTGGACAGTGCAAACAAAATTCTAAGGAACGTTCCAGCCACACCTTACTCCAAAAACATTTCATTCAATGGCTGCATAGAATTTCTTTTTTGAGAAGGCAAGCCCCAAATTGATAGAAATCTCTAGAATGAAAATGTACAATTACCAAAAATAATACATATTATGTCAGGGCAGAAACTGCATAGTGTTCTTCAACATAATCACTAATAAAGAGCAGCCAAAGCCCAGAACTTCGTTCCGCATTCATTAGCAAACAACTTCAAAGTGTAAACGACAACCAGGGAAAAAAGCATAACACAAAGGCCATTTTTCTTTGATGGAATCAGGAAGAAAGTGAAACTGCAGGAAGAAAAGTGGAACCCAAGCTTTGGCCACTTATCAAAACTTCATTACTTCAATGAAACAGAACAAATCTCCGTGGAAAGGACTCATTCAGCAAACATACTTCTTTTCCATATATTTTTCCTTCACATCAGGTTAAACAGAAGTTGCTGTCATTTCAGAATTACTGATTACATCTTTTTTTAATTAGAAAAAAGTTTACTTGAATATTTACATAACTTTATTGCTGTTTATTACCACAAAAATTTTTTTTAACTGATTTGTAGAATCCATCCAGTAACATATGAACTTGAAATCCATCTCTTAAGAAGATACAGTTATGGCTGAATGTATCGTATGCTCAGAGCACAGCATGAATAAGAAAAATCCTTGCATGTCATTTGGTTCTTGCTGTAGTCATCTGTGTTCATCTCTCAGAAAGCAAAAGAATCCATCTGACGTTTCAATAAATATCAAACTAATTGTTACCAAAAAAATAGCCTCCATGGACCAGAGATCCAAGAAAGAGCAGTTTGATGATTCCTAGAATCGAGTAAGTCCTCCTTTAGTCCAATGAGATGATGTCAGGAATGTTACTTCCACTGCTGGTTATGACCCCTGTCTCACTCCTGCTGCTGGAGGAACTAACATGAGTACTGCTTTCATGGGGGCTGGTGGTGGTGACAGACGTACTGCTTGCTGTTAAGGGTGAGGTGAGACTATCCAAAAACATAGGAGGACAGTACTGCTTGAAACAAACAATGATGCTGATGAGGAAGAGGCTACATTGATTTTAAATAAAGAGACTAGAAATTGTTAGATATGTACAAGCGACAGCCACATATTTAAATCCCAGGGGGATTTAAAAATTTCTCAAAGCTTCACATCTTTGGATGGAAGGTGGCAGAATTTAGCTATTTTACATTATTTAGTGAATGCAGCATATCCTTGCTTCTCTCAAAACTTGTAGAATTTGTTGACTAAATATACAGGTACAAGTACAAAATTGTCAACAATAACTGAAGTTATTTAATAGTAAATATTGGCCCCAAAATTATGATTCACACTTAATCTCAAAAAGAATTTGCTCACTAAATGTATTTACACAAGATTTAAATTGCACTATAAAAGGCTAATAAATACTTATTTTTAATGGTATTAAACAAAAACGCAAAATTCAGTTAATTCTTTCAAAATTTAGTATCAATCAGACCCTTTAGTATCAATCAGACCCTTTAGGAATAATGTGAAGGCTGATCAGCTGAATAGTGGCGTCTGACTCCTTTGCATGTACCGGTAATAATACCTGTGTAATTAGAAGGATAGCATTCATTCTAAAATAGACTACACAGTAGCTAACTACCACAGGATGCTCAGAACAGAGAATTATCTCACATAATCACAAAATTTAGGGAAGGATGCTCAGAACAGAGAATTATCTCATGTAATCACAAAATTTTGGAATCAATCTTAAAAGATATCTAACCTAATCTAATCTTCCTTGTGATGCTTGCCTGACACCCTACTCCAGAGTTCATATTTCCAGTTTCCTTACCACCTTGGTTGCTAATTCCCAGACAAATTCAAACCTGAGTTGAACACTCTAATATCGACCAAGAGGAGGAGAGACAGACAAGAGCTAAAAGCTTTATTTTATATCACCGTAGAATATTTTACATGAGAAACAACTGCACTGACTTCAGTAAAATAAGTGAGGTCTAGTATATACTGCAAGAGGAGATGTCCTAAGTTTGTCTTTAGATTGACTGTATGAAAGATCATCAGTAAGGATATCCAATCAATATTATCAATTCTGTATATTATTCAGCCTCTCATTAGAGATACTAAGTTACAGAACAGGAATTTAAAACTGAAGCTGTTTAGACTACATGATCTTCAAAGAAGATAATAAAATGGGAACAACAGACCCAGGTTTAAACTGCCATCAGTGAAACAGCAACAACTGAAATTCACGCTGCCTTTCAAAAAAGTAATTTAATGTTTAGGATGGATAACTGTCTTGGTTCACCAATTAAATAAGTGCCATGCACAAAGAGCTTCAAGGGACATTGGTTAAGGGGGAGAAGGAACAGTTCTTAAAGTGCTTCTTAGGAGCTTTAAAGATAGTTGAATTGTCAGGTAGTAAACTTCTTTAAAATCAAGTCAATTTCCAACTTTCCACTAAAATTAGAAAAAGAATCTGGAAAAAAGCCCAGAAACTTACATTTTTTTCTGCTACCTCTCAGGCAGTTTTTGACTACCTAGTAGTAAAAAGGTACTTTTGTTCATTTATAAATGGATGCTAGATACTACACTCCTGCCATCAATAGGCTCTATGCCTTGAATTCTTATACTACTTAACTTGCAGCCATTTTACCTCTAAGTATGTATCCTTTACATGTAATCAACACATATCTGCACAAGGATAACAGGGATTAAGGGGGCAATATGAAGGAAGAAATCTAACGATTCTAAGGAAAACTGAAGGTACAACCTCACCCTTCTTATTGGCTTATCAAATAACTTAGCTTGACACTAAGCATGCCAAATAGCACTATGAAATCAAAATCCTCTAGGTTCCAAGATCAGTTTTTTAAAAAGGATAGTTCACATAAAAATCAGTAATACTTTAAGCCTGAAAAATCCATTTCCTAGAAAAATATATGGATACTTTTGCTATAGAATCTACTGATGTAACCAAGTCAACTTAGGGTGAGAAGAAATTCCTCCTTCTGCACATTACCTTGGGCCCAAATTTCTAGCGCTGTTTGTGTGATCAGACACAGCGTATTGAAACAGGAGGCTGATAAAAGAGCTGTGGTTAGCTGATTCTGAGCAGCTACAAAGCAGTGATCTGTGGTTCTTCCTCTATCCCTCCCTACTCTCAATACTTCTCTCAAAGTCTCTTTCTTTCTGTTTCACTTTCCCCTTACACTTTTCCCATGCCTCTTCCTCCTCTGCTCTGCCTCTGTTGTAAGCCTGTCAGTGGAGTCCATGCTCACTGCAAGGTCTTCACATAGAGACTCTGGGATACTAGAGTTTATTATCTCTGACAGAAATAAACAGGAATGATTGGTCTATAGCAACTTTAGATTGGGGCATCCCCAAAGTCTGAATCTGATTGCCTTTAAAAACAAGGAAAAATCAAGCTAATGATTCAAGTCTGTTTAATCAGCTTCCACTATTTTCTATGTATAGAAAATATACATATTTTCGCTTTACAAATTATCTCTGTAAAGTTTTAACTGCCAGCCATCTAGCACTGCTTTCCCTCATTTTAATCACTCAAATGCTTGTAAGAAATGCCAACTTATTCTTAAATTAAATAAAATATAATTAAAAATTCAAGTATGAAGGCCGAAATATCATAAATTGAAAAACAGCAACTTTATTCCTCCAAATAAACTTGTGAAATATTTATATAGTACTTCCTTTCCATCAATTTAAGTAACTGAGAGTTGACTGTCCTGATTTTATGCAACTGGTCATTTTTAGTTAGTGTGACATAACCAATAATCAAATACAAATTAGTTGCTTAAATTCAGGATACATACCTGGGGATCAACTGGAATAAGGGAAAGAAAATCCAAACCTAAAACAAAAATGCTTTGTTAATAGTTGTCTCATATTTTGGAGACAAGAATTATTTCCCAAAATCATTTTGCATTTATCATAAGTCATAAAACATTTGGGGTAATTGCTTACCATTCTGCCAAAGGGAAGTTCTATACCACAATCAGTGATGTGCATAAAACCCAAAAATGAACACATTCCCTGACAAAACAATTGGAAAAACCACCTCCCACTGACTCAGAGGCCAAAAATTTCGAGAGAAGTAGGACTAGTCAAAGCAAACTTTTCCCCTTCATCGCTTAATAGAATGAGAAGCAATAAAAATGATGAGATAATGATCCAGATTCAGACCATTAAAAAAACATACTTAGGCTCTTAAGATACTTCACATTTATTTTTAGGAAATACACCACATTGAGCTTCATCTAAAATATCACTTCTTAAACAAATGTCTAATTCATGAATAGCTCTGTCCCCCTGTTCCCACATCAAGAGTACACAGTCCAATGCTCTGCACAAAGCAAGCACTTGGTAACTGCTGCTCACTAACAAGCTAAATCTTATCAAGGTTTACTGGGTCATAAGCTAATGCAGTTTTCTAAACCAAAGATCTGGGATTCTCCAATTATGTTTCAGAAACAGAAATGTGTAAAACATTACCCAGTAATGCCATTTTGAAGTATGAAAGTTATAACAATAAATAATAAAAATTTTCAGGTCTGAAAAGTCTAGCAATAAATTTCAAAGTCAGTTACTCTAGACCTCTCTGTTTGACTAAATTTCAAAACATAAAAAAAAAAAATCTCACACTAGGTATAGGTCACTAAGACAGGCCAATTTCCACTCAATTCTATTAAGTTTTATATGCTGGCATTCAATGTCACCTCAAATATAACAATCATACAGAGTGAAAGTCTGATACTAAACTATTACTCAAAATAGAGAATATTAGTGGAGATGATATTTAAAACATTTAATAACCACTATGAATAATTTATAACTCAAAATTTTAAAGTATATTCCCTTATAATCTCTAAATAAGGGTATGATAAAAATGCTTATCAAGTGATACAAGCTGTAGCACCAATCATTTGAGAGAAATCATTCAATTTCTAAAGCATTTTTTAGAACTGTTGGGGCCGGCCCGGTGGCGCAAGCGGTTAAGTGCACGCGCTCCGCTGCGGCGGCCCAGGGTTCACCGGTTCGGATGCCGGGTGCGCGCCGACGCACTGCTTGGCAAGTCATGCTGTGGCAGCGTCCCATATAAAGTGGAGGGAGATGAGCACGGATGTTAGCCCAGGGCCAGTCTTCCTCAGCAAAAATGAGGAGGATTGGCAGATGTTAGCACAGGGCTGATCTCCTCACAAAACAAAAAAAAACTGTTAATATGATTTTTCATTTTATATGCCGGTCACTAGCTACATGATACAGCAGTTTGAGCCAACAATGGACAAAGGGAATCACAACAAAGTTTTTCAAAGACTTCCCCATTAAATTGATAATCAGTAGGTGACACATCTCAAACAGAGAGTTTCTCTTCACATTAACGATAACGTTCAGTAAACCCTCTCTCCACTTCTGGTGAAGAGTAATTCAAAATTTGTCTAGCCCTTATAATACCTTCTGAGAGTTTTGTATATTCAACATTTTTATTATTGACTAAGTCACAAAAATAGTTTATTAGCATGTCTTTAATTGGTTTAATTTTATTAACTTTATTTTGTTTTACTTAAAATGGTATATTTTTTTTATAATACCTATGCTTTATACAGTTTATTTAATATGTTCAATCACCTTTAACGTTTGTTGAATCACTCAGTCCATTTGAATAACTGAAAATTTTTTTTATAAAGCTAAAGAAAGTATTGATATGTCTGTTGGAATATTGTGTATTGAAGCCAAATCACTCAAAAATGCTCATTTTCTAAATATTTAACTATTCCCATTTCATAACTTCAATTTAAATAAACACACAGACTTGATATAATTTTCAAACTGTTTTTGCAGCTCTAGCACTGGAGGCTGCCCATCAAGGTGCAAAGACTATATTTTCATTATTTCAATTCCCAGCTCTTCAGATGTACTGTAATTCTCTTTATTATTTCATTTGTGTCAGGAGGTATACAGTCTATTGAGAAAAGACGTAAGAGATTTACTTGATCTATATCTTTTGACACCTCATCCAGGGATAAGTGAATATGGTGACTTACACAACGCATAAAAATATACCTAGAAATTTTTCTAAAATTTTGGTTAAAACTCTAGAGTGTCTCCCTAGCATTACACAGATGCTCTCTACAGAAAATCCAATAAGGTTTTAATGTAAAATATTTCTCACTGAAACCATTTTTTCTCAAACACTAACAGTGAAGTTTGATATAGTATTTCAGATGTTATTCCTTCTAATAAAAAACTTTAAACTATAATCAAAGTCTTGCATTTTACATTTTAAGTAGACTATTAAAACTCTTATATGAAATAGATGAAGTTTGATGAATAGTGATTAAAATGTTACGCCTTATTTTATAAGTCTAGCAAAATGCTGTTTTCTTATTTCACCGTAAGTTTCAACAGCAATGATATGTGGTAGTGATATATTTTATGCCCTCCTTAGTATTTCGTGGTTGAAAATGCTCAATTATTTTTAACCAAAAATCAGGTAGTGTTAAAAATTCTGATGATACATTCTAAATATTTTTGTTTTATTAACACTGATAAAATTGTAGGTTTTAAATTTTAAATACTTCTTTATGTGAAACTGACTCATTTAGTTTTTTCCTTATTAATAACAACACATTTTCCTTTCTTGAGTCATGAACTTTAACAAAACATGATTGTTACATGATTAAATATGTAAGTGGTTAGCATTTTCAAATTTTAATGATACAACTTTTGAGCACCATTCGCACCTGACAATATGGCACTAGCAATAATAAGGCAGTCATGTTTTTTCTTGAAATAATCAAGCTGTTTTCCACTCCATAAATACAAATTAGTTTTTTTATTTTGTATTCATTGTTGCACAGTATCAGAAGATGTTCCAAGCTGCAGTTCATTATTAATATCATTTCTTCTTTGTTCTCCTGCAGATTCAGAAGATTCATGTTTATGATGTTTAAAAGGAATGTTAAGAAATGTATTAAAACTTTGTCATCTCTCCATTCTTGGTGCTCTATTTAATATTTTATTATAAATTATTAAACTTATAAATATCAAAACTGTACAGTATGGCTAATTACATAAAAGTTATGCACAAAAATAAAACCAAAGTAATTAATAATTACAAAAGAGCACATTAACAATAAAACCAAAGTAAAAACTAAATTATTTGGATGAAGTAACTGCTACATAATTCATAGATGACAATAAACTGGTAATTCTTCTAAAATACAATAGATCCTATTCTATTCAGTTTATCAACTGGTAAGAAAGCGTTTCAAGATTTTAATAACCAGTATCACCATGGTTTATATTGGCTAAATATCAGCCATGGATATTAGTCTTATTTCCTTAATACCAGCTTGAAAGGTATTTTACCAAATACACAGTTAACATATTTTATTGCATTTTTCTCAAATTTGCACATTTTATAAAGTAAATAGTCTCACTTTATGCCCAAATTCTGAGATAATGTAAGTTCTCCCAAATTAAAAATTCATCCAGACTCACATAACTTGAAAACTAACAGAGCAAGTGATATGTAAATTGTGTCTATGCTACTGCTAAATGGCCAGGGTCACTTTAGCAAACAAAATGTTCATTATCTTTTTTCAAGATTAATTTTTAATTCAAGGTCTTTAGGAAACACGTCCTTCTGGAATGCTTGTTTATAACACATACTAAGATGACATATGCACCCTCTTCAACTTCATTTACAACTAGCCAAGAGTAAAGGGAAACATAGCAGTTAGAAATTAAGATATCTCCAAGTTTCCATCTTCGTTATGGACCATGAAACTTCATCTGTACCTTAGCATCAAGCTTTGTACACAACAAACACTTTAAAATTGGTGCTAGATGAGTTCACAAACAATTTTTTAAACTCTAATTCCCAAAGCACATAATGGAGTCAGCATATTTAAGAAGCAAAAGGTATTTAAAATGTTTTTTATAGATACTGTTTTTAGTCTCTTTTTTCCATTAAATTTTATTCAAATAATCTGAACAAATTTCAAGTGGCAAAATTACATTAGGCCAGATAACACAACTATCAACTGTTTCAACAATACAAATTTTGCCCAATAGAATAAATATTGTGCTTAAAATAAAGACCTCACTAAGAGGGATAAGAAGAATAAATATGTCAAAATTAACTTCATAAATCTAGAAAACAAAATTAATAACAGGAGGACAGCATGGTATTCCACTAAAAGGGCCCTTCAGAGAGAAGGAAGTCATGAATATAAGAGGCACTGGTTCTAACTTGCTCAAATTTGACTGACAAAAAATGTCTGCAAAAACAATAGCTATGGAGACAGAGAAACAAGAGTGAGCGGGGAAAAAAGTTCACATTTTATAATGTGGCCTTGGTTGTGTAAATCTCGGCACTAAGGTAATTCAAGCAGCCTTGAATTTTTAAAATCTTGAGTTAATATTCATATAAAAGCTATCTCTAAATATTAAGCAGCACTAGGGAAACAGCCAGTAGATCCTATCTTTACAGGGGAATGAAGTCCACAGGGTAAAGCTGGTAGGCAATATTGACCCTACAATACACCAGTATATTCTGAAGTTCTGATGGGCTACCAAGAAGTGATGGGCTACCAAGAAGAGTATGAAAAACTACTCTCTCTAACCTGTGAAGCTTCTATGATAAATAAGAAAAAGTCTCTGAGTACCAACTCTCTATGAGGGAGAATAAACTATAAAATTTTCCTACTATCCTACTATATTTCCTATCATCAGGAATCTATAGATTGCTCTATAGTCAAAATGATAGGAATTGAATGTGATGTATTAAAACAGATACTACCTTTACATGAAGGCTTCAAATTTCCTTAGCATTTCTATTTAAAATTTTAAAACTTATTTGCTCCACCGATTAAGATTAAAAATAAATAAAACTTGATAAAAACAAAACAAAACCAAAAACTCTTCACATACCTGGCAAATCTGATGACATGCTTGATATTGGCGTGTGGTGGAATGGTACTGAGTAGTCTGTTAATGAAGGCGGAATAGCAGCAGGATCAACCGAAGTCACACTGGGCACCCTTACAGAAGATGGCTGATACATGAGAACCCTGTTTTAAATAGCACGGGAAATTACAAACAATCTGGCTGTTAGTTCACAGGAGAGAAGGGCAGCACCTCTGGGCATTCTCAGTCGCAAGTTTGCTAAGTTTCAACATAACTATATGGCAGCTACTCACTACACAGTACTCCACTCTACTCTCCTCTTTCATAACAGTCTTCATTTTAACATGAACATATGCTGGCTCTCAACTGCAGCTGTGACATAAGAGCAAGTTGGCATTAAAACATCATGTACAGTGCTGGAGTAATACATAAAACTTTCATCCACAAATGGAAATATACATTAGTATGTGTAACATATATGTGAGTATCAGTAATTTTATCTATAAATAAATTTAGAAATAAAATAGAGGACTCGTAAGACTTGATTTAAATCAGGGCACCTTTATGAGTGAAGCTACTTACTATAACTCAATGAAAATTTCTTCCATTCTAACTTGAATTGTGTTAATTATTAGTAATCTTATCTGGGAATCACCCAAGCAAAGAAAGCTAATCCTAAAGCCAGCCAACCTGATGATAATCAGCAGCAATCAGAAATTAGAATGAGATAACTAGGCAGGATTTAAGATATAATATCCAGAGATAAAACGATGGCTACCACAACACTATCTACTCTTCTAAGAGAGTTTATGACTTTGAAATTAGCTGGTCATGCTACTAAAAATACAAATTAAACACACTTAAGAAATACTCAGGGCCGGCCCTGTGGCTTAGCAGCCCGGGTGCAAATCCCGGGAGCGCACCGACGCACCGCTTGTCGGGCCATGCTGAGGCGGCGTCCCACATACAGTAACTAGAAGGATGTGCAACTAGAACATACAACTATCTACTGGGGCTTTGGGGAAAAAAAGGAGGAGGATTGGTAATAGATGTTAGCTCAGGCCCGGTCTTCCTCAGCAAAAAGAGGAGGATTGCCACGGATGTTAGCTCAGAGCTGATCTTCCTCACAAAAGAAAAAAACAAGAAAAAGAAATACTTGATAATTGGTATTATATATATATATATATATATACACACATTATATATAATTATAACTTTATAATTTCAAGAAGCAGTACAATTAAACATATTTTGAAAAAGTTCAGGAATAAAGAGAGATGATTTTGCATTTTTCCTATTTAACCTTCATTTTCTCTTAGCCCACGGTAAACTAGAACTTCACAAGAAAAACATCGTGAATGTATACAAGAAACTAAGCAATGTTACGGACCCTATGGCTGATGGTGGCCACCTTTCGTCCAACATCTTAGCAATGCTGCAGTGGTAGCAGCTGCTCTCTAAGCTTCGCAATGCCACCCAAGGATGACAAGAAGAAGATAAATGCCAGAAAGTTGGCCAAGAAAGACAAAAGACCAAGCAAACAAATCTGGGGGCAAGGCCAAAAAGAAGTGGTCCAAAGCCAAAGTTCGGGACAAGCTCAATAACCTAGTCTTGTCTGACAAAGCCACATATAAAAAACTCTGTAAGGAAGTTCCTAACTATAAGTTTATAACCCAGCTGTTGTCTCTGACAGACTGGAGATGCCCAGTTCCCTAGCAAGGGCAGCCCTTCAGGAGCTCCTTAGCGAAGGACTCATTCAAGTGGTTTCAAAGCACAGAGTTCAGATAATTGACACCAGAAACTCCAAGGGTAGAGATGCCCCAGCTGCTAGTAAAGATGCATAAGCAGGTTCCACCAACTGTACACTTTGAAAAATAAAACTTTATTAAATAAAAAAAAGGAGGGGAGGCAGGGACATGGAGACATTAAGGTTAGCATCCCAAAGGGCTGACAGTAAACTACTGTAGGCTTAATGAGAGAGGCATAGAATTCTGTAGCTGGAAGGGACAATTACAAAGATGAAGAAAGTGAAACCGAAAGAAACTTAAAGTGGACCATGGTCAAAAAGCGAGACTGAGATGACAACTAGGACTTCTAGATGTTCTTTCCCTTGGTTGAAACATGTCCTCTTATTGCTCAGATTATTAAATACTAGTAATAAGAAATGATGACATAGTTGCATGACACCCTTCATACTCTATACAATTGACAAACTGTTTCAGAACCTCAATTTAAATCTCAAACCACTTAAATAATCACAGCTTATTAGACACCGGAGTTCTTCTAAAACTAGTTTGCATTATGACATGAGGATCCGGTCTAGCCATTATTCTGTACTATTTGTCAAAAATATGGACGTCATCGGAAATGTGGAAAACGAAGCCCTCTTGAGAGTACATATATGGCTATGTTGTCAACCGTGTTAGTCTCAGAAAAATGAATAACATAGGTCAGAGAGTTCAGAAATCTTAAAAACTGAACCATTCAGGAGGCACAGGAAATATAACATGCTTGAGACAATAACATGAGCCTGGTATTTCAAAACACATTTTCCAGAGGTAGACGAAGAGGGAAGGAAGTCATCTTCCACAGAGCAAACTGTCTAGCTTAGAATCAGGAGTTTTCTTGGCCTTCCATGTTACCTGGAGACCTAAAACCACAAGCAGGAGGTGAGCAACATTAGAAAAGGCAGATTCTGGAAGGGAAAAGAGAAAAGTTGGGATGAGATCAAATAAGTTATATTGTATTAAAGCATATCTTTTTCTGGAGGTTTGGAAACAGTGGTCCTCTACAGGGATGAAAGTAGAAGAATAGGAAATCACCAAAAGTGTTTTCATATTACACATGATCCTACTTCCCACACAAGAATGCACATCAGAAATCAGCAAAGGGGGCACAGGAAGTAAGAAGGAGAAAGAGATTGATATGTTAGTGCAGAGGAGGGGGTTAAAAAAGTGGCTGCTTTTTTTTCTTTTTTTGCTTCCTCACAGTAGTAATATCTTAATCATATTTTCTAAAAATCTAAGAGGCAAGCTTCTGAACACATACATATGTACACACAATATATATACACACACATGATTTCATTTATTTTTAAAAATTTATACTTAAAAGTACATTTAATCTATCATTTTCCTTCTGACACCAAAAAAACTAAAAGAAAAATTTCCAGGTTTACAAGCAAAAAAACAATGTCTGCCTTCCTCCTGCTCCCCCTTCTCTCCTTTGACATCTCACAGGAGATTTTCTTTCGTCTTGATCCTGATTTGACCCTTCAACTTGGATCAGATTTATAGGAAACAACAACAACAACAAAACTCACTTTCCTCCCCTGGCCCCTTTCTTTACATCTGTCAGGTCAATGTCCCAATGTACTAGGATGACTGTCTGTCATCATAGTAACATCCAATTATTGCATATGTTCTGTTCTCATAACATGACTAGTTATTATTAAATAACTATTCCTTGTTTCTCCAATACAAAATGTTGACTGTCACTACATGTGAAAATGTTAAAATCCAATAAGGGTACAAATTATTAAATCAATATCTAAAACCTCAGTAAACATGCGAAAAACTAAACTATTTGGGGTAGGTTAATTCCTATTACCTGAACTTCGCAACCATTAACAGAAATTCAACTTTACATAGAATGAGTGAAAATAGTCATTTGTTAGGATTATCAAACTATGCATTGGTAGCAGATTTTTGTTTTAACCAGAATCTTCACAAGGGCCACACTGAGAAAGGTAAAACGAATCTAATGCCTATGCAAAAAATAGACGTATTTATAGATACAGAATAACAGGGACCATGGAGAAATGTAAATAGCTACATCTGATGGAACTGTGGCTATAAAAATGTGATGGCATAACATAATAAAAATTTTTTTAAAGCTTTTAACATTTGTTACTGCCTCCCCACAGCATTGGCAAATACATAGGCAGATGTATACATTATGCATGTGTACATATATATTTTAAATTTTTATAGCTTTACCCATAATATCACAGCATAAAAGTAAATTGCTAGAATGCTGCTAGACAGCAAGTATCAGAATTCTAGACTGTGTACTGGATCACTGAATTCATCATACTTGGCTCAGACTTAGATGTCTGGAAATGAGTTAACAATTCAATAACTTGAATTTTTATCCATAAACCTGAAATTCACTGTGTGCTCCCACTGTGATGATAAAAGTATTTTTAAAAAAGATTCAATTTTGCTACCATTTCCTAACGATTCTTAATCCAGAGAAATACATATTTTTCTCTATTCTTTGTTTCCCGTCTTCAGAATACCTCCTTATTAATGACAAAGCAGTTCTTCAATTTCCAGTGAATGGAATAGGGGCATGATATTTACAATCATCTTTCAATGTAGAAAAGTATCTTAGATTAAGGTGCCAGTTTCTTCTGATAGGTACTATATGACTGCACTTAAAGACTACAGTAGGTATGCAAGGAAAGGGGCTAGAAAGATTACCATCAAAATGTTAATAGTGGTTATCTCCAGGCAGAATGTTTTTTACTTCTTGGTGCTTTGTAAAATTGTTTATAAGAATAATTTTTACTAAACAATACCTCTCAAAAAATTACAGCTCACATAATTTCTGGACTGTTACTTAAAGTAGTTTTCCTGGTTTCTCATTCTCTATTATTTCTCACTTGCTTACTATCGCTGACCAAGAAGTCCTATGATAAACTTACACGGCAGAGAAAAACCATAAAAAATTCTAGATGCTGAGCCACAAGAGAAGATATGAAAAGGATGACCAGGAACAAAACCACAAAAGTGTAAGAGTTGGAAGAGCTCACAGAGATGACATAACCATAGCATGAGTCTCCACTATGATACTGTGACAGGTGTCACCCACTCTACCTTAACACAGAAAGTGTGATCTACCTTAACACAGAAAGTGTGACTTCAACACAAAACATCAACTTTCTTAGTGTTCAGAAAGCTCAAATGGAACGTTTTTCCATGTATCTTTCCTTCTTTGGACTAAGGTCTGCCAAATGTTACAACCAAGAATAAACTTAATGCAGTTAATCAATGACTCCCTTTTAAGAACTACAAGATAGCTACCACATATTCTCTTCTCCTGCCTTCACAGCTTCTGTCCTGAGACCATTCATCCATCATGCTACAGTTTCCACTCTTCACCATCCTGTTATCCTCTCTGGCTGCACTCATTTGTTTATACCCTTCTTGATGATCAGCACGAACTAAAATGGTATAAGTGAAAGTCATCTAGCCCAGAATGGAACAAAACTGGCATGTTATGTTTCCTGGACACTATGCTTCTTTTACTAATGGAGCCTAAGAACAAATCAGCTTAAGTGATAAACTCTTCAAACCATTAAGTTCATTTCAAAGAGTTTCTATCAGGAATGGCTGTTAATTTACTGAATGCCTTTCCAGCATCTATTAAGATGACTCTATAGTCTTCCTTATGACAGGATCCATTTTATCAATGTATTTCCTAATAATAAAGCATTCCTGGATAAACCCTACTTAGTGGTAATGGATGCCATTTTAATATATCATTAAATGATTTCCTAAGATTGAATTCAGAATTTTCATCTATCTTCCTGTGTCAGACTATTTCATAACAGTTTTTCTGTATGACTGTTAATGTGTAAATCTACTTCGGGTATTAAGAGTTATGCTGATTTCACAGAATGAGCTGGGTAGCTAACTTTTTAAACCAAAATTTTCATATGTTGCTAGTTTAGTCACAAATTTCCACCTTACACTTACAATGTTAGCTTTTGTTTTCTTTTTAACCTAGATGAGGAGTCTTACATCTATCTCTATGGTAGCTGACCATGGGTGTGAACTATCCTTATTCCTCTGCATACTGAAGCCATTTCAGATTCTGTCACCAATGTACATGCCATTCTTCCAGTTTTGTGTCCTCATCAAGTACTAATAAAAATGTGCTCAAGTACAGATAAGAGGGTAGATCCTTATGACATGCCACAAGAGATATCCTCAAAAACCACATCAATTCAAAAGTCAGCATCATTACGCATGACTCCTCAACCTGGCATTAATCCATCTAACTATAATACTGTGCAACCCATGTTTTTCAAGCATATTCTAAAGGATATTACGAGAGAGTAAAATCTGGAAATACCACACATAAGTATTCATTCCCATGATTCTCCACTCTAGTAAACATTTCAAAATTATATTTTCATTTTTTATCATTTAAATTCTAGAAGTGCCAAACAAAGTGTCTGAAAGGAGCAATAAATGATCAGCATTCCAGAAAAAAACCACTTGAAATACTTTTCTCACTTTCTGTTCCAACAAAAAAAAACAACCTCATTCTGGTTAAATGGGAAAACGAAAATGTACACCCTTACTATCATGAGTAAATCATATCTGGAAATATAAATATTTTAACAGTGAAGAAGGCAACACAAAAGGTTTAATTCTCCTGGTTTCGAAAGAAACTATAAAAAAAGAATGTTACAAAAGTGCACTGAGAGTATAATTCCATTTATATAAAATGTCTAGAACATGCAAATTTATAGAGATGAAAAGAAGATCAATGGTTGCCTAGATCTGGGGTGTGAATGGGGATTAACTGCAAATGAACATGAGAGAAGTTTATTGGGTGTTGGAAATATTCTACAACTGAATTGTGACGATGAATTTACTAAAATCACTGAATTGTGCAACTGAATACTTAAGATGGGAGAATTTTATGGTATGTAAATTAGACCCCAATAAAACCATTAGAATAAATAAGTGCACTGAGAAGCCAAAAAATCAAGACTGGCACACGCAATTTTGAAAGAATGTGTTCATAGAATGTCAAGAGAACCCTCTGCTACTTTCTTGCAGGTTCTGAAATCTCCAAGAAGCACCTATTGCTAAATACTCAAACTTGTCATTTACTATAGGTCAGCAATGGCTCTGCTAGATGAATCATAAAGAATACATGCTAGAATGCACTGAATTGCCCATATTTTGCCCTGGAGAAAGGGAGAGAGGAAGGCAATCAATTTTTATTGAGAAACTAACATGTGCCTGACACTGAAGCTAAGCTCTTTTCATTATCTTATTGAAACCTGAAAATAATCTTATGAGGTAGGCATTATTTAACTCCATTTTACAGAACAGAAAAAGGAGGTTCAAACAAGTGAAGTATTTCATCCAAGATCACAGAATGAGTAAGCAATGGTGTCAAAATTGGAATCCACACTTGTTGGATTCCCAATTCCATACTCCATTACACCAGGCTTCCTCACGTTGGTCCGTGATGCCAAATTTCCTCCTTACAAATTGATTCAAGAAAATGACAAAAAGTATCAAATATGAAATAAATACTTAGACATGAGAAGATCTCAACTCTCACTTCCCAAAGATGGGAATATTGTCTTTATCAAAATTTGCTTTCCTATAACACTGTGCTCACCTGAAAATACTTCAACTGAACAAAGGCAAATTAAAATAGCCTTCTATAGTTACACAACTCTCAAATAGACACTTACAAACCTATCCCAAGAACAGTTAGTTACAAGTGTAATAAACAATAGGGAACTATAAATTAACAAACCCTTTGGTTGGGCTGCTTTGTGTTTCTGACATAAAGATGCATTTCCTTTTGGCAGGAGGGTCTTCCTCTTCATCAGAAGAGCTTTCTATTGTTAGGTCAATAACATCCACTTTCTTCTTGCTTGCCTCACTGGCTACAGTCACAGAACAAGGCTTACTGAGGACACTTGAACCTGCATGTAAGGAACAGAAGGAAAATAAAAAAATCAAAGGTGTAACATAAATAAACTCAAGCCAGAAGAGCGTTAACTGAGCAGCATGTCTGGGAGAATACACAGGCAGTAAAGCCACATACTCCATCCTATGGACAAAGACCAACTCCCTAACTCCAGGCATCTGTCTGTAAAATGACTGCTTACCTGGGAAGGCAGGGTGAGCTCTAAGCCTTGACAGAGAGTCAAAAGCTTCCTTCAGACAGCATGCTCTTAGTCATCTCCCCAGTACAGCCAATGGACTTGCGCAGATCCTGCTGCTCACGCTGTCTCCCCAGGTAAGCAGTCATTTTACAGACAAACATCTGGAGTTAGGGGGCTGGTCTCCCTCCATGGACAAGAGTATGTGGCTTCGCTGGCTGTGTGTTCTCACAGATGTATGGCAGTGTTAAGTCAGAATCAGATACTTCCATTCTAGCACAGTAATCATGTTCGTATCAAAGAAAGTATAGGCTCTTCAACATAAGCCAGAACTTGATAAAAATTTTCACCTTGATAAGCTGAAAAAACCCTAAACTTCTCATTTAAGTTATTTAGACATTTAAAGCTTTTATCAATTACCTACTCATCACCTACGTTCTCCTTTCTGCCCACTATAGTCTCCTACATCATATGTTAACTCACCATTTCATAGAAAGTATATTACGCCCTGTAATCTATTTAGCAAAAAATGAATGCTAGTTGATAATGGAAAAGCAGCAGCAACCAATAAACTAAATCACTATTTTTCTCAAAGTTGAGGGAAATCTTAAATCATTCCATCCGTAGGTTCAGTAACAATCACAGGAGAATGATTAATATTGACATAAATCCTTTATCTTCTCCTCTCTTCTTACTCTGAATACTTACTATTCATTACATTATTAGAGTATCAAATATAGTCAGTACAAAACGCAAATGCAGTGAGTGGACTACGTCAGATAAAAAGAAACCTCAAGTTCACACCTAAGGGTTTCAATTATTCAAACTGCCCTTAGTGTCCCCACTCAGTGGGGACAGGTGCAAGAAGCTGAAGGCTGAGTGTACATCCCAGATAACCAAGGCAATGGTCAAATTCCTTCCCACAAAGAATGGAAACAATTCGTGCAGTTTTCTTAGCAACTAATGTGTGACACCCCCCCCCCCCCATTAACAGATGATACAGTCTTTCTAGCCACACCTCCACCTGGGGGTCCCAAGTACAGGTACTCCAAAAACAATTCTGAAAAACTGTCCATAGAAATGTCATTTATAACTTTTCATTTTGTAGCAAATACTATACATTAAAACAATCCTAGGTGATTGTTTCATTTACTTTACTATGAAAAATATACTATGAAAAGGCTGATTGTAAGATAATGTAAACTTTAGCACATTTCTTATGGAAAGAATAAAAATCAGTTGGGGGAAATTACATATGTAACAGATGATCAAAAGATAAACCTGGCAAACTGAGATCTAAATGTAGTTCTAGCAGCCAAGGTTAATGAAAAAGACAATGTTGCATGAGTCTCATTGCTATGCTTTCTGCTGCCACTCTGCACATACTTTCTATTTTTGTACACGGTTGGCTGGATACTTTCATAGCTTCTTTCTTCGGTCTCATTGGACACCAAGAACCATCTTCTTGGAATTTGATCTCATCCACATCAGAACAGTCATTGAGAATTTCCATAAAAAGCCTATGAAACAATTAAGAAGTACAGAAATGTAGTCAATGGCTTTGTTCAAAGGTGAAATAACAAAATAATACACATTACCTCTGAGACAAAAGTAATGCTACCTGACTTGTTTGTTTGTTTGTTTTGGTATTTCAATACTTCACACTTTACAACAACTATCATACCCCCTTCAGCCTAGGTTTTAGTTCTATAATGGGCAACAACAAAGATACTTAGTGACTATCATCTAAAAAATCAGTGGCTAAACAGAAAAAGAGACCTGAAGCCTCCTAGCTGGGATTGGCAATAAAGAACAACCTCTAACACAACACATAAAACAAACATAAGCAAATATAAAAGTTATTACACAAAAAATAATTTATAAGCTTAGCAAGAAAAAAGGATTATAGGGATGGGGAAAGGAGGGAAGAATGGGGACATAAAAGAAATCTTAATAAATTTAAAATAACTTAGAGCATACAATTATGTTCTATAACCAAAATGAAATTAAACTTAAAATCATCATGAAAAAAAATCTGGAAAATCCTCAAATATTTGAAAACTAAACAAAATAACCCAAGACAAAGAAAACATAAAAACAGAAATTAGAAAGTACTCTGAACTGAATGAAAATATAATAAAATTTGTGGAATGTAGCTAAAGCAGTATTTAGATGAAAATTTATAGTAGTCTTCCTATATTAGAAAAAGACTCAAATCAATAACCTCAGCTTCTATCTAAATGAAACTATAAAAAGAAGAACAAATTAAAGTGAAAGTAGACAAGAAAAGGGAAGTAACAAAGAACAGAAAAATAAATGAAATAGAAAAAAAATAGAGAAAAATCAATGAAACCAAAAAGCTGGTACTCTTAAGATCAATAAAATTGACAAACCTCTAGTCAGACTTAAGCTCACTCAAAAAGAAACAGATAACCTAAGGAACCCTATGTCTATTAAAGAAATTGAATTTATAGTTAAAAACTTTACCACAAAGAAAACTCCAGGCTCAAATGTCTTCACTAGAGAATTCTACCAAATATTTGAGGAGCTATAATATCATCACTTCCCAACTCATTGTGTAAGGCCAGCATTACTGATACTAAAACCAGACAAAGACATTACAAGAAAACAACAGACCAATATCCCTTATGCATTTAGCAAAAACAAACCCAACAATAAATAAAAAGGGTAACAAATCATGAACAAGTAGAGTTTATCCCCAGAATACAAGATTAATTTAATATTTGAAAGTCAATCAATGTTTATGTTAACAGACTAGGCAGTGCCAGACGGCAGGATAAAAAATAAAAGGCGTCCAGATTAGAAAGGAAGAAGTAAAAACGTCTCTATTTATAAACAACATTACTGTCTATATGGAATATCCAGTGTAATCTATAATAAAGCTACTAAGACTACAAACTGAGTTTAGTAAGGTTTCAAGATATGAGAGAATATATAAAAATCAACTATATTACTATATACTAGCAAAAACCAGAATTTTTTAAAAAAATACCACATCAAAAGTATGAAATACTTAGGGATAAATTTGACATAAGGCATACAAGACCCATATACTGAAAATTACAAAACATTACTGAGACCTCATTAACTAAATAGAGATATATCATGTTAATGGATCAGAAGACTCAACATTGTTAAGTCACCCTTAACTTATCTATAGATGCAACACAATACAAATCAAAATCCCAGAAGGTTTTTTTCTACTTGACAAGCCAATTCTAAAATTCGTAATGAAAAGCAAAAGATCTATAATAGCCAAAATAATTTTGAAAAAGAACAAAGTTGAAAGACACACATTACCCTGATTTCCAGACAGTGCAGTATTGACATAAATATAGACAAATCAACGGAACAGAATGGAGTCCAGAGATAAATCCACACATATATGGCGAACTGATTTTTGAAAAACGTGCGAAGGCAACTCAATGAGGAAAAAAACAGTCTTTTTAACAAGTGGGGTGGAACAACTGCATGGCCATATGCCAAAAAAAAGAAACCAAAACACACCTTGATTCTTACCTTGCACCATATACAAAAACTAACTTGATATGGATAATAGACCTAAATGTAAAATTAAAATATAAAACACCTAAGGAAAGTATAGAGAAAATCTTTGTGACCTTGGGTAAGGAAAAAATTTCTTAATACCAAAAGCACAATCCATCAAAGAAAACCTTGATAAATTAGCCTTCATCTAAATTAAGAACTTCTGCTCTTTGAAAGACACTATTAAGAGACTGAAAAGATAAAATGGCAGAAAATATCTGCAAATCACATATCTGATAACAGACTTGCATCTAGAATATATAAAGAACTATCAAAACTCAATAATATGAAAACGAACAACTCAAGTTAAAAATGGGCAGAAGTTTAGTCACTTTATCAAAGATAGACAGATGGTGAATAAACACACAAAAAGATGCTCAATATAATTATTCATAAGGGAAATGCAAATTAAATCCACACTGGGGTACCACTATATACCACTAAAATGTCTAAAATTAAAAAGACTACATCAAATGTTGCTGAGAATGTGGAGCAACTGGAACTCTCATATACTGCTAGTGGGAATATAAAATGGTACAAACATTTTAGAAAATAGTTTGGTAATTTCTTAATTAAGCATACACATAGCCATGTGACCAGGGATTCCACTCCTAGATATTCGCCCAAGATCAATGAAAACATCAGTCCACACAAAGACTTGGACATGAATGTTTACAGTAGCTTTATTTGCAATAGCCCAGAACCAGAAACAACCCATCAACAAGTGAATTGCTAAACTGCGGTATATCTATACAATAGAATGCTACTTGGCAATAAAAATGAACTAGTGCTACATGTAGCAACATGGATGAATCTCAAAATGAGCATGCTAAATAAAATAAGCTAGACAAAGGAAGCACATATTTCATGATTCCATTCATATAAAATTCTAGAAAATCCAAACTAATCTATAGAAACAAAGTATATAAACAGTATTTGCCTAAGGACCTAGTGAGAAGGAGAGATTAGAAAGATACATGAGAAAACTTTGAGTGTGATAGATGTGTTCATTACCTTGATTGCCTTGATGATTTCACAGGTGTATATACAGGTCAAAATGTATCAAACTGTATACTTTACATACAGGCAGTTCTTATACCTCAATAAAGCTGATAAAAATGAATAAAAAGGGAAAAAATGCCTCCTCCATCAGAAGATGTAACACTTTAAGTATGTTTATTTTCCCCAATTATACTGAAAACGTAACATAATTCCAATCAAAAACCAGGATTTTTTGCTTTCTGTAATTTGAGAACACTTTTATTCTGCCAGAACCAATGTTAATAACGGCAAAACAAACTGTGAAAATAATCAAGAAACACATGGCCTAAGAGATATTAACACATAGTAATCCAATAATTAAAACAGTTTTGGGGCCAGCCCCGTGGCTTAGCGGTTAAGTGCGCGCGCTCCGCTACTGGCAGCCAGCGTTCGGATCCCAGGCACACACCGACGCACTGCTTCTCTGGCCATGCTGAGGCCGCGTCCCACATACAGCAACTAGAAGGATGTGCAACTATGACATACAACTATCTACCTGGGCCTTGGGGAGAAAAAGGGAAAAAAAGGAGGAGGATTGGCAATAGATGTTAGCTCAGAGCCGGTATTCCTCAGCAAAAAGAGGAGGATTAGCATGGATGTTAGCTCAGGGCTGATCTTCCTCACAAAAAAAAAAAAAACAAACCAGTTTTGCACTGGCCTGCTAATACTTTGATCAATGGAGCAAACAGCAGTTCAGAAATTAACACTAGTGTATATAAGAATGTATTAAACAATGGAGGCAGTATCTTAAGTCCGTGGGAGAGATAATTCTATAGACGTTGGTGAGACTACTGACTAACAATCAGCATGGTAGGGTAGGGTGACCCTACTTTAATGGGATCACCTACTCCCACCCTAAAGTTTCTTCCTCATCTCCAATTTTCCTCACATAGTTCCATTCTTTACCTTCGTAAGCACTTAGCATTTAATATGCAAAGCACTTAATATGCAATTCTTTACTGTCTCCCACACTAGAAGTGCTCTGTTCACCACTTTAGATCCAGTATCTGATACACAGTAGGTATTTAATAAGTACTGTGTTGAATAAATTTATGAAGGAATGCAGAACTGTACAAGTGAAAGGAGAAAAAACAAAAAAACCCTTAAAAGTACCAAACAAGTGAATGTTCATATAAAAATCTCTGGGACTTGACAAACATATTAAAGATAGAAATTCAAAATGAAAAGACATACTTGATGAAACAAAAATTTAAAGTTTTTGAATGAAAAAAGTCACAATATGGGGCTGGCCCCATGGTGCAGTGGTTGGGTTCGGCGCATTCCTCTTTGGCGGCCCAGATTCCGGTCACAGGTGTGGACCTAGACCATGTTGTGGCAGCGACCCACATATAAAGAAGAGGAAAACTGGCACAGATGTTAGCTCAGGGCTAATCTTCCTCAAGCAAAAAACAAGGAAGATTGGCAACAGATGTTGGCTCATGGCTAATCTTCCTCAGCAAAAAAAA